ACTTGCCAACGGATGGCAATGGAAGGTGGTTGTGCAATATGGCGGATCGATTAAAATGAAACATATGAGTAAATGAATGTCTGCTCAGTGTGGTCTTGTGGCTAAGTGCTCTCTCAGGGACTTGAAAGTCTTAAGTGAGATCATCATTGAGGATACATGGTGCTGAGAAGTTTTATACTAAAACAAAATATCTGTTCAATAATTTCTGCTGTTTAATGGTTGTCTGATCATAGTCGAATGTCATGCTTTTGCTCATAATAGTTATACCGTTTTTTAGTCACTAAAGAAATACAGTCTGATTTAATTATTTCTGTATTATTATTACTACTATTACTGTTATTATTAGTTTTCTCTTCTTGATTTTTCGACCATAATATTATTGAGAACAATGCTGTACGGCGTGAAATTCTCTTGGGTAAAATATATTTTACAGAAAATAATAAATGAGTAAAATTAATGAAAAATATTGATAAAAATTTATTGGCCATCAGTTTTTCATTCAAATTTTGAACGAGTTTCAAACGCATTGTACATTATGTTTTATATATACGTCTTTTCTACTTCTTCAATAGTTGTAAAGTAGAACATATGAACAAATTCATGAAAGGGAAACTAATAAATAAACCGAATTTCAATAGGTTTGCAGAAGTTTTATTTCTGTTTATCCCCCCCCATAGTTAAACTATTCGATTTTTTTTAAGATGTGATTTTATGGAGGATTTATCAAACATCTGGAATTTAATTTGAATTAAAAACATGATATTCACTGAATAAACTTTAAAAAAGTTAAATCTCAGAGGACCTTACGACTTCAAGGAACGAAGCGGGAGGAATGTTTAGACACGCAATCAAACTAATTGATTTCATAATTTCAATATAAAGACATTATTATTATCAAATATTTAAATGTATTTACATTCGATATAGTGATAAATCGGATGATATATATATATATATATTTCAATGAGTGGTTATATGCTGTTTAAAACCGAATTTACTTTAAATTTACCATTCAAGGATTTACGAAAAATAAATTCGTTCCAGTCAAAACCGCTACCGAAAACATGAAAATGAAGTTTTAATAAAAAAGGGCGTTATTAAAAAGTTAAAAAATGATTGGAATTGTTGTGGTGGTGGTGTTTGGTTCTCTGAGCTGGGTGTTTTGGTTGTGGAGCTTTGATTGTTCTTCTGAACAACATCATCAGCACAAACTTCAGAATGCTTCACTTCTATCTGAAGTTTGTGCTGATGATGTTGTTCAGAAGAACAATCGAAGCTCCACAACCAAAACACCCAGCTCAGAGAACCAAACACCACCACCACAATCATCCACCTGAGCTACAAATCTTCTCCACCATCTGATTGGGATTGTATTTTAAATCCTGTAGGTGATATCAGGATCTGAACTCTTATAAAAAAAAAAATAAAACAAAATCACACTACTCACATGGCATGATGATGTTTAACCATGCAGAAGGTAATTTTTTAAAGTTAACATGGATATCATTTACACATTTATTATTCGACCATTTGAATCCAAAGTGATGTTTTATTGGTGGATATGAAACAAATTAGGCTAAACAATTTAAACTACTTATTAGTAAGTATTATATTATTAGATTAATTAGTGAGACATTTAAACATTGATCGAAAATATTTCTGGTTAATGAATTCATTCAGTATATCGATGATCAGAAACTAAACCTGGTATTTCATTGAAGCCATACATTCCTTATTAATAGGCTAAAATGATTCATTCACAGAACAAACTTTTCTCATAAATGATACAGCACACATGATCAATGGTGTGTAATTTGATGATGTTGATAAACAGGACGAACTGATAGGTCTCTGTTCCTATGTAATGCATCTTAAGAAGAATACATCAACCTAATTGGTATCAGCCATAAAAATGAACAGAGAGATGTTAATACATGCAGCTAATAAGTCATAATCAGGATGAAACTCACTTCCTGGATTCTCTCAATAGTCACAGTTCTGTTAAATTAATATTGTTTGAAGTTTAGGGAAAAAAATGTCTTAGTTTGGCCACTTAATCCTGTTACAGAGTTATTCAGATGCACCGTTAGAAAAATCCTTAAATTCTCAGAAGTTACGAGCAATTAAATATATCTTTCTTATAAGTATCAATCTGTATAAGTATATGATCGCCCACTCTTTACCTATCACTATGAAACTTAAATCTACGTATTTCCCTGTTTGAAGCATTACTTCATCTATCTGAGACTGAATTCAACTCCGAATAGACTAATCAACTAAAAATTTAAAAATATCAAAGTGATGTCAACGAGAAATCACTGTTCTACAGAAAAAGCGCCATGAAAATGAAATCCTTTAATATTAGGACACTGAATTCTGCCAGTCGCACTATTATGAATAGCAGAATAAAAATTATAATTACTCTATTTATTTATTCTTAATATAAATGAAAAGCAATAAGTTTTAACTCAGTATTTTGAAATATAAAAATAATGCAGTTAATTTTTAAAATGTCAACAGATTAATCTACCGCTCATACATTTGAATATCGCTCATAGAAGATTCATAGCTTATTAATTTTCCCGATGATTATTCTACATTAAAAGCTAAAAGTTTTGAAAACAAAAGATAATTCAAAGACGGTTTGATTACATAAATATACAACACGAGTGATAATTTATGTTAATATTTGTATTGTTGATTTTAGTAATGAATTCCTGATGTTTAATGTGCAGGTGAAAGTATTCACTTCAATAAATATTTGTCTGTAATCGAACTTTATCACGCAAATGTCGATAGTGTTAAATGAATTCAACAAGAAATCGTAAAGTAGGATTTTTTTCCAAACTTAATCGTGCAAAGTTAAATAATATATATTTATGAGCATTTTAGACAAATGATTTATATATCATTTTCACTGTCTGGTGAATTTCTTTTTATGGTTCATACTATATGAATTTCGGATGTTATTCAACATGAGGAAAAAAAATTACATCCATTTGATTCACTCTATAGATTAGCATTGATTACTTAAAATATGCATTGTTTAAAGTATTACTTATCAAACTTCCATTCGAACACAACATTGATTTCACCTAATTTAGTCCAGTTCGGATTTAACTTAATTCGACAGACCTACAACATGCCAACAGTAACAGCGGTATGTGTACAAGAAAAGAAAATGTATGATTTGACCAGAGAGCTTTCATGTCCCAAGTAAAGATAATCATCATATAGTAAAGTATACATGAAACAAGTTAAATATTTATCGATCATTTGTTATTATCTCATCATGTAAGTTCAAAGTGCAAAATATTTCATTAATAATATATAATTCTATGGTAATCTCAAGGTTCAAAATATCGATCTGAGCCAAACAGACATCACTATGGTAAGTTTTCACCAAAAAAAGGCTTCGGCCGATGGATTTCATAATAACGTCGGGGAATAGGCTGTCTTTTAGTTTAGTCAATAATTATAAATACCGAAAAGATTGTTGATTAGCCAGGCCTTGTTAATGAATTTCATTTTAATTACATGATTGAAAACATACTTGACAATAACTAACATCTATGTTTGTCATTTAAGTTAACTAATGGTGTTATTAGACTCAAGCTAATATTAATAGTTAATATTATTATTTTTAGTACTTTTCTCAGATAGACTGTTAAAAGAAGAATAAATATGACCATCAAGTAAAGTAATTCAGTAACGATATAGTAATTAGACTAAACAGTTTTTATTTTCATCACTGATGCATTTTGTTTGGAGAACTATTGAAAACTATGCAACTGTATATAGTTATAAACATTTTCATTGTACATATATCCGATCTCATACGTAACATACCTCAAAAACTTTAAAGTTTGCAAAAAGCTACACACCTTAATATAATTGAATGATAATTGAATGGCTGAGCTTTCATTCTGATTATGTTAGATTTTATTAATACCTTTTCACATAATGAATATAATACTATTTACTTAAAATCTTCTTGAAGTGCAAAAATGGGTAATCTTATCAGATGCAAGTGGTATAAAATTTCATATTCAATTTTAAACTGAATAATTTAGTTAATAGACAAATGTAAATAAATACAATGTATTGTTTGAAATGGCGCTTAAAGCAAAACTTGTACTGGATTCAAGGCCTAAAGGTGTATTCAACTGGCAAGCCCAAACAGGATGAAACATATCTTGGATTCCATGGTTAGGCACGTTCTATTTATTCTATATATAAATGTATTATTATCTGTGAAAATTTTTATATAGGTTTTGTTTAATTTCAGTTTGTAAATAAAAGAAATCTCTAGGTGATTCATGTTAAAGATATGAGATTTACATGCTTTCTAAATTAAACAGTATTCCACAGACTATGCCAAAAACATTCGAAGTACTAGTAGTGCATTCTAAAAAAACAAGTTTAAATTTTAGACTTATGCAAATGTACATTATTATTATTATTATTATTATCATTACTATAACTAGTGAAATAGTTGAGTTTTTTAGTACGAGAGTAATAAAATCTAATTTAAAAAAACAAACAAACTGAAATCAGTTATTTATCAACTTATTTATTTAGTACAATGCAGGTATGTAGTTAGTTATTCATTGCAATCTCGTTATTGGTTATTATTTATTGTAAAAAATTGAGGACACTATTGTACAGATCGATTATAAAAAGTGATTTGATAAAATAAGGCATAAAATAATATTTCATATGGAACAATCATTTTAGTCGTGATTTTATCTCATCTGTTCAAATCATATTAACTCGATTAAAAACGAATTGGTTTATTTGACTACTTTTGTTTAAGGTCATATTTCTTTAGATGCATTAAAGTGTATAAAGAAAAGTGACTATTATATGTAAAAGGACAAGATAGGTAAGACGAATGATTGTTCCCATTTTTTCCTTTCATAAACAGCATTACAGGTCAAAATAAATTTCTGAAGTTTAATAGATACATTTAAGACAAAGAAGAATAATTATTTCCTTCTATGAATCCATTAAATTCCACCGAACCAAATTCAAGTTCAACAGAAACACGGACAGCTGATTTACACATTTATGTGATACCACCAAATTTATGGATTAATGATTTAAATACAGCCTTTGCTCAAGTGATCAGGAATACAGTTTCAGCTGGAATAATTCGTTCCAAAATCGATATTACTTTAGTTGAATTTCGTGAAGTTTTGGAGAAGGAACTCGGCAAACAACTCTTACCCAATGAATATATATTTTGTAAACAAGTTGGACATTCACTTGGTCGTGTAATATTAAAGCTCTTACAATATTCCTAATTTGCTTGAATTTTATTTTAGATTCAATTGAGTCAAGAGAAATTGTTTAAAATCAGTGAGTTTCTTCCTCCTCAGGTAAGTAGTTTAAAATTCCAATATCAGATATCCTCCACATACAGTTTTATACATTTGTTTGAGGTTATGAATGATATCCAAAATATAATTACCAAGTTTCTTAATTTTTAACTGAGTCAATAAAGATGAGTGATTTGACCATTATTCTATGACTCGGTGAATATGTTTAACACAAACATTGATTAGTAATTTAAGTAAGCTATTCTTATTTCGAAGCTGGTTTCCTAATAAAGTATAAATTGACTTTTAAATGAATAGTTTATTAGGCTGATATAAATTATTACAACAGTTTTAAGTCAAAGTCTCATACCACAATTCATATTTTGTAAAAGTTTTTATATTTTAAGGCCACAATTTCTAGTTTTAATCAGCAAATTGAATCATTTTATTCATCTAGAGTTTTATTGTTTATTAATCGAAAAAGAAGTAGTTCGCAAAATTTTTTTGGAATCTTACTAAAAAGAATCATTTAAGTGAATTTTAAGGTTGATATCGATCGATAATAATTAAGAAATACCTTCATTTATTGATTTTTGATCACCTCAGAGATTTTGTCGGTAACTTTTAAAATACGTATTTGTTTCTTTAGAAACATTTCAATCCATTTTTTCTCGGACGATTAGATGAATGGCATGTTTGAAAGCTTACTGGAATAGACTTCGGCATCATCATGCGATGAAATCTTTCACTGAAGTTATGTGAATCATAAGGAATAAATTTTATCATCATTAACACATGATATTTGAAAGTAATGTGTTTTAGAATGTAGAAATGCCCTATGTAGACAAAAGTAGCTCAATTTCAATTACGTCAATAAGTCATTTACGTTGACTTGTGCGTACTTGTTGTGTAAATAATGTAGACTCATTTAAATGTGACATTTATTCACTGCCATTTCACACAAATTATGTTGTGAGTAAAGAAATATATAAGATAACCCGTTAACCTACCAATCTCCATTTATTGTCCTATTTTAAAAAGAATGTTTTTAACAGTTAAACTAGTTGTGCCCTATAGTGTTGATACAGATAATTTAGGTCTATTAGTGCCTCCCTTGAAGGGGGAACCTTTATATTATTGTATAGCTGGTTTAAAATGTATTTTACTTTTAGCGTTAGATTTCTTGAACTTATGTTAAATAAAATATGATTAGTATTGTGGTTTGCCTTGGGATGTCCACTATTTTCCCCTTTCGTTTAATTCATTAAATGAATAAATATTTATCATACTTACTTAACCATGTAAATAGAACTTACGTGAACATGACTAAAGTCTTCAAAGTAAACTGTAAAGCTTTACATTTCTTAAGTTGTCAAAATGTGATTTTACAAAACATCTAGTTATTATTCAAGTTACTGTTTACAAGGAATACGGATAGTTGATATTAATCCGTTTACTTCCTTTTGTTGGTCACTTTCCTGATAGTAGCATTTTTTAGAACGCTCACGTGCGATCAACTCATTCCATACATTAATCTTTGATATTTAGTTCGAATGTACGATTCTTTCTGATTGCTTAACAAAAAATGTTCGTTATGAGATGTGATGGGAATGACAGAATTCATCTAGATCTTCTTTAAATCACTTTTTGTTTAATTCTTTCGAAAAGTGTAATTATACAGGTTTCTAGTTGTAGCTTCCTTCCTTCTTTGGCTAAATTCAACTGATAAAAGAACTAAAAGTGTTAATTTTTTTTATGAATGTATACGAAAAGGTTATAACAAATTTATAGAAATTGGAATTGTTGTAAATTGTTTAAACGTTTTATCAGATTTAATTTCATTATTTATGACTTGGCAAGCACTTCTTTAAAATGAACTTCCACTTGAATTAACAGTTACATTTATCATATTTTTACAATTAAATTATTTCAGAAATGTTTTTAGGAGAATAAACATTATCTTTAGTACACGTTATAGGTAAAACCTTATGATAATCAAAAAAGAATTTGATTTATGTTTGATATGCAGTGTACTATGATTTTTCTGATGTAATGATATCGATTACTAAACTTACAATTTGCTTATATACGAGGAAGGAGTCTTTACCAATCAACTGGGTTTATATTTTAGGAATCTAAGGATATATTTTTATCTGGAGGAAATCAATCACAATGACTATGGATTACCTGTTCTTTCATAAACGAGTTGTCAATGATGGACATGAAGGTCGTAAAGCAACCAATACATTTCCGCTCCTATCCATGTATACCAGTTAATATATTCTAACTCTTTAAGTAACCAAGTGCTTATGATCATAAAGGTCACGGATAAAATGCATGGTCCTCAGGTCTTTCGTATAACACCTGACGGCTCCGATGCCAATGACTGTACAACCGAATTGGTGAAGGCTATTTCATTCTCGACATGCTGACTGTTTATTAGCACATTAAATTACATCAGTCTGTAAAAAACACCATCTGTAAATTAATCTTCACAAAACCACTTCATATAAACTACATATCATTTAAAAAGGAGATTGCAGCGGCTCAAACTAAAATTATTCTCAAGTTTTTCTGACTTAAAGAAGATTCGAACGAACGAAATGTTTTATTAATTCTAATTTCGATCAATGAGATTTTCAAAAATATACGATTTCTTCCATTCACTAAGGTTAACAACTAATTTTAAAGTGTTCAAATTTAGGTGAATGTTTCTACAGAATATTTTGCTGATCGATTTATTTTCACATGGATTTTGAGTGCCAACTGATTATGATTAATTATAAGGCTACACTGTTTAACTTCCAAATACAATGTTTTCTTAAGTTATCTGTAAAGTTCACCCATTTATCTCATTAGTATGGTTTGCGTTATTTTGATTGGAGAGGATAAAGTGAATATAGTGTAAATTCTCTGAAGTAATCTGACGGAATTTACTTTGACCATCTGTTTTATACAAGTGAGTGCATATCAGTACAAGAGTTTGTCTTAAATCATTGAAAGCCAAAGACAATTAGATTTGATTTCTTACAGTCAAGTAAAAATCAGGTCATCGAAAATTTTTTATTTTATGCACTCTGTTTGATTATAAGTTGGAACGATTTTCCGTAACTTTAACTTTTTTTTGTTAGAAAACAATTTCTAATTCACAGTGGGTGGTCCATAGAACTGTAGAATTGTAACTAAGTTAAACGGTTAATTTTTTTTGATTAGTGAGATTTAAAAATCAAAAAAAATTAATTATATATTTTCTTTTCAAATAGTCTGAATTTTCGGAGATCTATGTGATAGATCGTCAGGCGGTTGATGAGAATCAGATACATAAAAAAGAAGTTTACCAACTCGCTGCAACACAACAACATCATCAGGTTAGCTTAATGCCACTTCCTTACTTGGAACAAACGAGACCAACATCACCATCAATAAAACTAGATGATTCCAATAAAGGTAAGCTATGCTCTAAGCTATGCTCCTTGTGACAAAGAAGGTTAATGACTCACTTTTTCCATAGTAAAATTTTGCTCATTCAATAAATACGCGATTGGAGCTACTACTCCATTAGTTAAAAAATGATTCAAAGAGATGATCAGTACCACTGAATTCAAACACTTACCACTAAGAATCAGACCAACTTTGGTGGCCTCGCTTTGTACATGATAATACTCCTGTACACTGGACAATCGAATTATTGGTTTGTTTCACTCACCACAGTATAACAATAGAAAAGATGAGTGTTGTAATTGGGAAGCACTTTAAAGAGAATAAGACTGATGCATTAAAAATTTTATAAGATGAAGATATGTTATCTTAATGTGTCTATCTGTTGGATAGATTACGTATAATGTCGAAATGAATATTTATATCCGAATGATAAGATATTGGAAAGCATCATTTTGATAGTTGATCTTTCAGGTATTAAGCAATAGACTATACTTAATCACAGAATTAATCTTATTGAAACAATCGAAAAATGAGCCATGATTTGAGTGATGTATTTTATGGTCGAACATCATTTGCAATCAACAAAAGTCTCGAATCTAATTTACCCATTTAATAATATTGGATATTAAAGAAAGAGTATAAATCTGAAAAGATATTTTACGTGATAGCAAGCTTCAGAACTAAAAAGTTTAATACGATATATGATGCCTGCATTGTTTGCTTTTCATTAAACGAATTTGAACAAACGCAATAAAAAAAATTTAAAAATGGCTTGCACCATAATGGTTATCATCAAACAGTAAATGAATAAACATATTTTGAAATTCTGAGAATTTGATACGCTTAATGTCTACTTCATAAGTAACTAAACCAGACATTTATAGCAAAGAGAGATGTAGTTTCAACTGAGATCATAGTCTCAACTGATAATTTATTTTGCCATATAAGCTGAATCTAATTATGAGTATGACAATGATCCAAATTATTACAAAACTTGATGATCTTACGATATTACATGAAAATTTTAATCGCTGAATCCCAAAACTAAAGTCTAAAGAGTAGTACCTTTCACTAAATCCTTAAGTGCTGGTTTCGACTCAGAGTACACAACTGATGAGTTCCAAACTAGGATTAGACATCTTACGATCGCTTCTTCCATTATTTTCATTTTCTAACTGATTTGCATATGTATCTTCTCCAGAGAATACTGTCGATTATCAATTGTTACATCAATAATATAAAGAGCCAAACTCTCCTAATAATGCTTAGTCGTTTCAAATAAAATCATTTCTTATAGCCAGTTGTTTGTTAGATTTATAGGTGAATTTTCATTTCCTTTTTTTGTATCATTTCATAAAAAGAAATTTCCATATTTGAAGTTAAAGTAGATTCGTCAATTCTCAATCCGTTTGTGATCAGTTTCTCAGGTTAACGAGATATCAAGGTCAAACAACTATTTAAGGGATTTTAATTTAATTTTTAATGGATTGCATTGTCCCGCTATCGACATTCTGACTGATATTCGGCTAGTCTTATTGGGCATATGCACATCCTGTGCTGATCGCTTCGAGTTAGCCACATAACACGAGTAAATATAAGCTCAAGGACCTTTATATATCTAACTAGCTAGTCCTAGAAAATTGCGCCCTGAATCCAGCTACTAGCCGCCTTTAATCTATTCTACATAAACTTGTTTTAGGGGAAAAAGAATACCACTAAGGTAGATTTTCATCGAAATAAGTCATTTACGCTAAACAATAAAACCCACATTGGAAGTATCGTAATGAGTTGAAAATATGCTTTTAGTTTATAAAACTGAAACTAACAAGTGTATATTTGAGTCAAATGACTGATATTAAAATCAGTTTTTAATTTGACTATAGAAACAGTTTCGCATATTTTCTATTTTTACCACAATCAACCGACTTCTCATTTCGTCCACAAGCGTGTTCTCATAAATACCAAAACAAACTGAATGAGTAGTAATAAATATAAGCGTTTTTAGTTTCAAGACATACTCTTTCGTACGGATAGTTTCTAGTCGAAAAACTATATACTTTGAACTGGAGCATCGCCATGAAACTAACCATTGAGTATAAGTGTGATTTTTATCGTAAAATCCAAACAAAGAAAGTGAGCAATGATAAATGCAACGCAATAATTTAGATAGATTGAACTTTCATAGACTTTGTATAGTATCACTCAGCGAATCTTGGTGATCAATACAAATATCAGTAAAATAGTCATTCAGTATCTTAGATTAATTGAAATCTGACATTATCACCAATGGATACCAGTAGTCTAGATGTCAAGCATCCACTAGCGGGACTAGAAGACCTGGGTTCGGTTCCAGCATGCGCATTCGTCAATAAACACTACTGAGGAATCCTATATGATAGCGAAACGGCCATCCAGTGACTTCACTGTCTAAATATTAGTCTAAAATTCAATGGTTCTTGGTTTCGATACTTTACAATTATACTGAAATAATACTAGTTTAAAAGGCATAGGCGGGATAAGATAGCGCCTCTTTCGGATACGTCATATAAGCTAGAAAGGAGGCTTCAAGTTAATCAATGACCACTTCGATGAAAAATTAACTTAAGTTAAGATCTTGATTGATCGATTTTGACTTTAAACTGAAGGGTCACGAGGAATATGAATTTTATTTGAACTCAATTTCTTGTATAAATCTATCCTACTGTAAAAAGTACATTTTACTGGATGAAATCTATCCGCAATTTTCTCACTGAATTTTAACTTGACATATTACTCGATGAATGATAAAAACCATCGAAATTTCTACTGGATCAAATTTTTTTTGACATACTTTTATTATGCTGATATTAAAATAGAAACTACTGATATACCTAATCAGGAAAAACATCTCCAATCACCAAGTTTTTCTACTTCACATGGGGAAAATGTAGCGGTTAGTCATGAATTACCTCCTGTGCCAAATATTCACCAACAACCTCAACAACAACAACAGCAACAACTATCATTGCAAGATATCAGTAGACCCAGGTAAGATTTGAGCTTTGACATTGTGTTTCGTTCAAAACAGTGATAGATAGTTTATTTAACGGGTGTTTTGAATTGAAGAGAGTTTATATCATAAACTTAATATACATCGAAGACAAGAGAATACTGAATAGTTATTTAGTCTTAGTTTGGGATTGCTCAGTGATGGTTATACCTCAAATAAAATCTATAATTTAAGGGTTTCACTCTTGATATTTTAAATTGGGCTGAAATCCTATTTTATTCTGAGCGATCTTCCAAATCAACGCATTATTCATAAAGGCACTTTATGTTAGCTTTATATTTCTTAGTCGTTTTAAAAAATGATCACACATATTTAGGAAAAAAATGTGGAAGAAAATGTACTTTTTTTGATATAGCTGGAACTTAAAAGTATATCCTTAAAAATTATAAAATTTTGACTGAACTGTAAGTGAAATTTTTATTGCTGAAGGATGTAGAGATTGCCTAATTGCTAAATTTGACTGAAAATTCCTTACTCATGAAACGATATCATTTGAACTGTGAATCAAAATCCAGATGAAGTAGGTTACATCATTTTAATCAGGTAGTTTCAGTTTACCCACTATTCAACTATTCACGGTGTTTTTTTTTAAAATTTGACAAATGTCATTCGGTAAAGCATTTACTACAAAATCTTCCTTGTTTGATGTCACAATGAGTATACTCTATTTACTATTAAATTAACACATTTATCTTTTTACTTGAACACAACAAATGGAAGGTTTAGTTATGATGAATGCATTCTAATTGGTGAGTTGAAGACAAAAGTAATTCAAGTACTTGGTATTGTTGTTTCAGGGCTTGTTAGTCATGGAAATCTTTAATGACCGACAGATTTATGTTCGTTCATTCTACATGAACTAATAGTACTTATAGATCAATGTGTCTGTAAAACGCAAATAATCAGATACGTAGTTATAATGTTGAGGCATTCAAATAATTTCGCGTCAGAACAACGCTACGTGTAGAATAAACAGGGTGGATGGAGATAAGGTTCAATTACTTGTTCATGATCATCTGCCAAGGGGCGGCTAGCAGACATATACATCGCTTCTGTTGTCAGTTTTTCTCTTTCTATGCACAACAAACCCTTTCTGAAGTGTTTCAGTCCCGTCAAAATTGATCTTGTGTCCTGGTTTTAAGGCAGTTAATGTAATTGCTTCTCTATTTCCACGTTTTTTTGAGATCAACTGAGCAACTGACAGCATGTTTCAAATAATGTTTGTGTTTCTTCAACCTCATATTTTCCCCTGTAAACTGCATTACAATCGTAGAAGCTGGTCTCACAGACTATTTTCTGTTGTTCATTCTTTCGAAGCCTATTCTCAACTTTTCGTTATCCCTATCTTATAGTATCAATAACAGGAAAACAAAGTCTTAAATTTTGTTCTTTTGGAATTCTTTTAATTCATTCTGATGTTATTTTGTGTTGTAGAATGACAACAGTGCTCTTCCATTCTCTCATTGGGATAATTGTTTGTTCTAAGTATTTATAATAATAAAGTCAATTCAGTTTGTTCTTCTTTCTATGTAATAAGATTACAACTCTTGTTAATGAAATTCTTTATTACTGTATAAATTCAGTATTTCTTATTCCTAGCATAACTATATTTACATAAATCGGTATTGTTTATGCTCAAAAAAATTTGGAGAGGTTAAAAGTATTGATTTTAAATTTTACATTGCAATGATTAAATGTATGGTTAACAATGTATTATTAACATTCTTCATTGAAATTCTGAATACATCTAGTTCACAATTTGACCAAAGATCATCTATTAATTTGCCAGTTATTCCTCCGCTACCCAATCAGTCTATAAGCAGTTCGCAAGAATTAGCTTCATTGCAACCTGAATTCATCCCTAGATCGTTAACACCCATTATTCATACTGGGGATGCTAGTTTAGATACTCTTTCAGCAGCAATTGGTCATCAGAAAGATGTTTTACAACGTTTGGAATATGAACAACAGAAACGTATATTACAAATGCAAGCAGAAGCAGAAGAGCGTCGTCGGCGTGAAGCTGAACAGTATGCAAAGGAATTAGCTAAAAATGCTGATCATGCTAAGTAGGTTTTATCTTTAGCAAATAATTGATGTTGGTTTATAAAACTTATTGAATTTTATATTAATCTTCAATCAAATTATTTATGATTCCATGTGAAAAACTTTTATAACACACCCTATCAATAACAGAATGAATTATGCAAAAATATGACTTCTACTAAGAAGGGTTGAAATAGTAACTTATAATTTAATAGCTACTATTTCATTGATATGTTGGGTGATTTATCTTACTCAATGCTTGGATTACTCTTCAGTTTGTTAATTCAGACGCTTGAAAGTTCTTTTTTTCACGTTCATCTTTTAATTTCACTTTTAAAATAAATCGTATAACATTTTAGTCGGACTTTACTGATATTTATTAAATATTTCCAGGAAATATTCACTACTAGCTCTTTCCTTTTTTTTGTTTAAATGTCACTAGCAAAAGTAATTTGTTTTACTGGAATTTAACAAGTTTCTGATAAGTTATATTGTTTTAATATTTGTGATTTATTAGGCGTATGGAGGAGTTAGAGAAGGAATTAAGAAGATGGACTGATGAAGCGAAGCAGACACGAGAACGTTTGGATCAGTTAAAGTTAGCATGGGATACTGCATTGAAATCAAAAGAAGAAGAGATTACTACTTTAAAACAAGGTTTAGAATTAATGAAAAAGAGTAGAGATGTAACAGATGGTAAACCTACTGCAAGAGAAATTGCGGCACAAACAGAAATACGCCAACTTCAAATTCAATTAAGTGAAATGAAAGAAAATTATAAACGTGTTAGGAAAGAATTAGAAGATAGACGGAAAGCTGCAGACGCTAGAATGGATGCTGTAGGAGATGAGTTGAAGGATTTGAGGCGAAAAATGTCAGATGTACACGCAACGTTAAAAGAACCTAAACCTGTACAAATTACAGTTAGTTCAAAGTCCAAATCTGTCTGTGACGCTGGGACAGAAGCAGTAGAGTAGGTTGATTTTTTATTTACCTCGTTATTTCTTAAATTTATCCTTGTTCAGAACTTGTAAAGCATATTCGGTCACTCAGAACTTTTGTAAAAATACATCCCATATTACAGAATTTCGATGATTTCTTTTAAAACTTTAAAGGAATATACAATAAACTAAAATACTTCGAAGGTGTATTATATATTATTTGTGTGCCTACAAATTGCTGATATACATATATTTCCATGTAAGCAAATTCATTCGATTGCTACTCCAAAAATTAATCTGATGATTCGAAATTAATAAGGGGTTTGAAGATGAGACAAATTTCGATAAAGTACTCCTTTCATTCCAAAATTTTTTCGGCTGATGCTAGTTTGTGAGAACAATCACCTATGGATTAACTGAAACCCATACGAAACTCCGAATTCGATATTCACATTTTATTTGCTTATGAATCGATCGTCTATTGAATAGAAAGAGAAGTTATATTTGTATAGTGTGTTTTTGCTGATCAGACTCTGTTAATTAGGTTGAAATGTGGTCACTAGTCAAGGTGGTTGGAAGTTGTATTCACTATGCTTTTACTTTCTTAATATGGGTTATTATTATCTAAGTTAAAGCGAGTGGTAAATATCACGCTTCACTGTTTTGAAGTGCGTTATTAATATTGTTATCAATACGATTGTTATTACGATTATTATTATGGTACCGCTTCCAGCCAAACTGGTTAGCGAAGCCGGTTGGATCTTCTGGAAAAGAGATATTTACTGAAGCCTGACAAAACCACCGGGGCATAATAACTGTTTTTGCATGGTCTTACTTCCCATCAAGTGACTGCTGACCATCAATATGCTACATAGTAGTCACGTATGTTACTCTACTTGACAAGTGAATTATTTATTTATTTATTTCCCAGGTGAATGGGGATTGGTGTTAATTGGTCCTGTGAGTTTAGTAAGGTGTCGTTTTGTGCTTGGGTTTTTCACAACAATAGCGTTAAGGTATTATACTAGGGTTGGGTGAATTCCGGATGGCAAGTCTGAAGGTTCCATTTCAGTCACATAGTAGTTTCATGTGTGTTGTGGTAATCTTCTGGAGGTCATTATTTTACTCCCCTGGAGATGCAACAATTGCTGATTTCGCTTGGTGATTCGTTATAAGGTTTCAGTTCATTTCTTTACCTGCTGCAAACTTTCTTTTACAACTGATGCTGCTTAGGGCTGTAATATTCAATGCTACTGAGTTTAATCATAGTTGGATTTGTAATCCATTCTAGAGTAAGTTTGTTTTCAATTTGTTCGATATCTATTTGTAGTTGTCGTATCCATCTCTTGATATAGGCTTGTGTATTATTATCATAACATCTTATGTTGCTATTTAAAAACCTCATCATCAGGTTGTTTAGTCTTTTCTGTGAGATATACCACATGTTCAATTCATTTTGTTGTAGTTTGACTTTGTCGTGAAATTTGGGTTATCGTTAGTTGTTTGCGGTCGTTTATGCCTAAGAACATTCGGTGAGCTGTGTTAAGGATTGACTCCATTCGAAACTATTCATGATTCTAGTCCATGCATTAGCATGAGGATTAGTGAAAAATCCATCACTTTGAGTTTTGTGTCGGGTTTTATTTTTATGTATCTTGGTACCGGTTGAACCTTTATGAAGGCGGTTGTTGTCGCTTCAGTGTTAATTTTAATTGAATCATCTGGGTAGCCACCACTCCATATAATAGTCCCAAGATAGCTGCAAGAAGATGTATCCTCTATTTCGTGTTCTTCTATTAGAACCTTTCGACTGTTTCATCTTTTATTGATTTTTTATCTTGTTGTCATTACCCACATTTTCATATTATAACAAAACATCCACATCATATTAATTGTTATTTAAGCAAATGAAACCTAACTGATATTAATATTAGTAAATATCTTACATAAATCATCAGGAATATGTATTGCATAACTATGTAAAATTATTTCAGTCGGTAGAAAGCAAAAGTTTTACCGCTTTTTTTCTTTTTTTTCCCATAATTTCTTTTTCGACTTACATTTGTCTCATTTTCACATTTTATTACATATCTTGAATTTTGAACAGTAGCAAAACTATTTAGATGTAGGATGATAGATTCTAGAGTTTATCAAGCAATCAGTCAGTTCATTTGAGTTAAAAAAAATATACAGATATCCTTAATATTCTGTTGTACAATATTCTCTTTCCTTCTCAAGAATTGCAGGATTCCTATTCAAACATCAACAAAGTTGGACTCGAATTCTTTTAGAAGTTTAACATTTACTTTATGGATTTGTATCACTAGTGATTTCGCTTAATTCATGAAGTTACTTTACTCCATTTCTTCGTGAATATTATTGTCAACGAAATAAATCACGTTGTTCCAACAAAAATAATTTGATGATAATCACATAGTATTCTATGACTGATAAAATTTTATTATTAGTAATGATCAATGAATATTCAAAAACCAATTGGGTTTGTATTTCTCTTCGTACTACAAGACATATATACATATACATATATATATATATATATATATATATATATATATATATATATTAGTATATATGTTTCGATAATAAAATACAATATGTTGTAAAAAACAGTAATGTCAAAAAGTATCCTTACACACGGAAATATCTAATTATTGACTTATTTATTTCATTTTACAAATTTTAGATTTGAAGTTAAAAAGTCGCCACCACCTAAAATTAAAGTAAGTTTACACAATGTTCAATAAATATCTATGCGTATTATTCATAATAACAACTTTAAATAACTATCAATGTACTTGTATTCAGTAAAAAATATATTTAAGAAAGTAAACAAATGCACAGAATTTTATTATTAATGCTTTCATCAATAAACAATAAGCATTAGTTCATAAAGAATTATACTTTTAATCCAACATTATCTCTTTATTTTTACATTGTAAAAATAGTAAGCAAATTAGTTGCTATTTACAACAATCATTATTGTCACTCATCATCTCACGAAAGAACTAGTCCTTGTGAGATAAATTTACTACAATTTATGTCAGTGATTAGGTTATATGACTGAACGAATAATAATATACAGATTTCTTTTCTTTGATGGGATGTGTTTATCAGCGGAATGCAGAAGACACATATCGTCTTGCTTTGTACTCATCCTGGCTAGTCTTGGTTAACATGTGTATGTTTCAGTTTTGACAGAACTAAGTATAGGATTGAAGGAATATATCTAACATCAGAATGGATAAGTAAGGCAGTCTGCACATGATAAAAAGTGTCAACGATAGGATAGTGCAGTCCATTTTTATCATATACATTTCTGAGTCTCTTATTAATGTTCTTGAAAAAGCAAACTTATCTGTATTGATTCATTATACTATTATCAATGAAATCTAGCTTTGCTGTCACAAACTTAAGATTCTAAAACATTCTGCTAATGGTAACGAGTTATAGTTCTTGTACAATCTTATTTCCTAAATCGGGTTACACTAAATACTAAACTTCTGTTGTTTCATTAATCTGAAGTGGTTATTCATATTTGATATGTGATAAATTTTTGATTCATGTCACAAAGTTTTATAGAGCACAGAACAGGCATAACTAAATGCAAATTTACTACTACTAACTAATGGTAACTTCTAGAGTTTAACTACATTAGATGATGAACATCACAATCTGATACTACTGAAATATAAAATTAGTAGTCAAGAGACTACAAGTATTGTTTCATTCCACTTCAAAACAATTTAATCCAGTTCTTCCATTCTGGTTACTGCTTAAGTTAATATAAACAAATAAGTTGAACAACACTCTGTAGTATCTTTTTCTTCTGTAGTATGAATTAAACTTGACAATATCAATCATTGATCGACACATTAGTAACTCATATCTAATACTTTCTAAAAAGCTGAAAACCATTGCATGATGTTGAAAAAGTTTAAGAATTCAAATTCATTATATGGGATAAAGTTTACACATTTCGCTGAATCATGTGACATCTTATCTTGTTCACAGTTTGTAACTGAGATTGTTAGCAATAATTCTGTTTCCCATGGCTTAATTTATTACAAAACCATCTACTGAAGAATTATATCACCCGAGCAAATTTTGTAGACTATTGAAATTTGTAATTTACCTCACAGACTAATATTAGCTAAACACCCATTAAAAAACAAGTGTCACTAAACAACTATCTCATCGTAGTAGGAAACTACACAAACAATACGCATTCTACAGAGGGTCTAACAAAGTATCTTCAGGTTTCATAGAGAGCATATAATCTTTATGTCACTGAGCCCATGTCCTATGGTCTAAATGTTTAACTTGAACTAACTGACGATACTGCTCAGCCATCTTTCAAAATCACTGGTAGGTACCTATCTCACACCCAATACGGATAGGCTTAACTGGCTTCGGTTTTTCATTAGAACTCTGAATATCATTTCAGGAAATTAGTCAGTAATGAGCGAACGATTACTGTTATTTGTGAAGTTGATGGAACTTAAGTGCTTGCTATGACACCTGATGAGGAGGGTCTCACATGAACCAGTTAGTCAGTGATGCTCAGTATTTATTCCTTGTTTAAAGAAAGCAATTCATAATAATGACCACAGATCTTCATGACGTTTAACAAAGAAAATTGATATTTTTGCATAACATGACCGATGCCAATTGCATAACTATCAAGAAATTTTTAGATCTAATAATAAAGGAAACAGGTTAATATTACAGTGTATAGAGTTATTACTTGTTACCAATATCATTAAGTACAAGGAGAAATCACTGATTTTACTTAAAAACAGATATCATTTAGAAATATGTTATAAATTATTTTACTCTGCCTGATAAGAGTTTTTGGCTGTGGATTATCAGAATTGTCACGAGTTTAACTGCTAAAACAGATATCACTTTGATTGCATGCTTATATAATCGAGTCTGCTGAATGATAAACAGTTTATTAGCTTGAAATTTTGATCCCATTTTATTGTTTACATTTAAATCACACTGCAAGAATGAACCTAGTTTGAGGATCTATTGTTCTTTTAGGTATGTATGATAAGAACATTTTTAAATTAATATTCACAAAGTGTAAAACATCTTAGTTTGAGATTTCGGGGTAAACGATAAAATTTTGACCGAATACTGTAAACATGACAAACACAATAAGAATCTAATTTGGTGGTTTATGAAGATTTCTCAGCTGGTTGGTGTGGGTTTCATTAAGGACTGATTTGAGAAAAAGAATTGGGTATCTGCTTTATCCTGATTTTGGTGCTTCTAAGCAACACTATATTCATGCATTACAGATCCAAACTTTTGAGGAGTATCAAACCACAGCGAAATAGTTGTCCACTTTTTTCTGATCTTTATTCCTTCATAAAATCTCATTCTATTGTGTTGAAATGATTCATGTCACCACTACAAACTTCAATTCCAAGTAAATAATTTCTTACTACTCAGTTTAATTAGTAGTATGATTTTTTCGTCAGAATCTAAACTTCAAGTAGATGAACCATAATACCTCGTAGTCTATTTTCATACTGTCTTATTTAAAAATCATAGTTTGTAGATTGTAAAACAGAAGAATAAAATCAAAATTATTCCTTAGTTAATCGTTTCAGTGATTTTACATAGAGTTTTATCTTTGAATGTTAGAAATTTATGAAAAAACAATAGTGTGTACACGTACAACAGTACAGTAAACTATTTGTCTACTTTTAAAGCATTTAAAAATAATTTGATGCTGAGTGCTTTTTTACAGTTTGTGTGTACGTGTGTGATAGAATGTTGAAGAGAGTTGGGGACTAGATGAGACAGCATTTTACATTCTGATATAAGTAGAGTTAAAATTACAAAATTTTTATTACATTCAAATACTACTAATTCGAGTATATGAGAAAATAAATTAGAAACTGTCGTCAATTTTCTTAATATTAATTAATATCTAGATGAAAATACAGACATTATTGTTTAACATAAAAACAATTTATATAGAATAAGGACAAAGCGGGATTAATAATCACAAAAACGTTTGTTCAATATATTTTGTAGGAATGTAATTTTCTTAAATTTCTTAAAAAAAGTAATGATAAATACAATGTACTATATTTAGAAAAAAACAAGATATAGTAAAGATGCATGTAATAGTAGTTATCAGTATGATATACGTGGGAAAATGAAGTTGGAATCTGTTAAAATGTTACCAGTAGTACACTCAAAAGGAATGTTACCATTAAGGTAATTCTAAAATCTAAAACTACTGACGTTCTAACAGACCGGCATTGAAGAACGATTTAGCGACGCATGTCAATTTAGGAGTCGATACTGCAAAATAAGTAATGTGCATTAACGTGGAAAACCTTACACAACACGTGGGCTAGTGGTACGAAATGGATAAATGTACCTGGGAAATAAGTTAATTAAACCTGAACAATGCTTTCTCCAGAAAGCACCAAATCCGTAAGATCAATTGAGTATCAGTAAAAAGTGCTTTGCAAGTAAGAAATAATATGCTGTCCACGAAGACTATAATGGAAGCTTTAAAGTGAAGTAGTAGTAGTACTACTACTACTGGAAATAAAGAGAATTCAGCGTCTGACATTTTCTTTTCAACGAAATCATTTACTCAAACTGTACAATTGTGTTTGTGGTTATTTGATTAAGAGAAGATTTAGTTGGAAAGAAATTCTGCTTAGTTTTATTCACTAACACAGTGGGTTACTTTTAATGAGCTTCAAGATGGATAAACTACGTATTGTTAGTTTTAATCTTCCCATTGATGATATGAGTACAATGGGTCAGTCTCATTTAACATAAATACATCATGTGTGGAGTGCCTTAATTTAGTCAATAAGTCAGAAGTATTATTAGTAGAGATGGATAGTAGCTGAATAGAATGAAACCACGTCCTGGATTCCATCGCTAGTCACTATACATCTCTGCTCACTATGTAACGTAAGTTTTTAATCACCTGATTGTTTATTTTTATTTCACATCTCACTAAAGATCGGTCATCCAGATCCAGAAAAAAATTCAGTGTAAACTTGTAAATCAAACTCTAAATTAAAAAAACGCACTTGATCATCACTGATCACTGAGAGTATGCGTGAATTATGGTGTGAAAAATTTAGTGGAAAAGAGTTAACAGTTTCGGTTCACTTTAGTGTTTTCTCTAATGTCACAAACCTCATAGAGTTGACTTTTAAAACTTTTGATGATGAACAGTTTTTTCAACTCTTTCACCATACCTAAGCAACTAGGCATTACATTTCTGTGGTCAACGGTACTTCGTATGATTGTATCCTCCTATCAAAGCAATTGAAATTCAAAATATATACTGGCGTATAAATTGAGGATTGTCTAACATTGCATTACCAAACGTTTTGTTGAAATATGGAAAAACAGTACACAAAATATGTTTAAAACTATTTGATTAAGGCGATGCTTTTGGTTTATTCATAAAATTGTGATTTTAAATATCAGAGACAAGTTATCAGTGCTTATTTTATGTGATAGTGAAACTGTTTCTTACAATAATATATTAATATTTTACTCAGCATTACTGAATGTATTACTTAAATCATCTATATAGAAGATGTACTGATGAATTTCTTTCAACTATCCATTAATCTTTTTTTATGACGGTAATCAGAAAAGAATAGTTCACTTTCAAATTTGTTGCTAAAGCTTTTAAATTGAGCGCTTATGTTAAATTTATTTGAAA